CCCAGGAAGGTGGTACCAGGGCGGGGTGGGTCTGAAGTCGGGAGCCATGTAACTCCGTCTGGGTCTCCAGGGATGGTGGTAGCCAGGGCGGGCTGGGTCCGAAGTCGGGAGCCAGTTACTCAGTTCTGGGTCTTCCCAGGAAGGTGGTAGCCAGGGCGGGCTGGGTCCGAAGTCGGGGAGCCCAGTATCTCAGTCTGGGTCTCCCAGGAAAGGTGGTAGCCAGGCCGGGCTGGGTCCGAAGTCGGGAGCCAGTAACTCAGTCTGGGTCTCCCCAGGAAGGTGGTAGCCAGGGCGGGCTGGGTCCGAAGTCGGGAGCCCAGTAACTCAGTCTGGGTCTCCCAGGAAGGTGGTAGCCAGGGCGGGCTGGGTCTGAAGTCGGGAGCCAGTAACTCCGTCTGGGTCTCCCAGGAAGGTGGTAGCCAGGGCGGGCTGGGTCCGAAGTCGGGAGCCAGTAACTCAGTCTGGGTCTCCCAGGAAGGTGGTAGCCAGGGCGGGCTGGGTCTGAAGTCGGGAGCCAGTAACTCAGTCTGGGTCTCCCAGGAAGGTGGTAGCCAGGGCGGGCTGGGTCTGAAGTCGGGAGCCAGTAACTCAGTCTGGGTCTCCCAGGAAGGTGGTAGCCAGGGCGGGCTGGGTCCGAAGTCGGGAGCCAGTAACTCAGTCTGGGTCTCCCAGGAAGGTGGTAGCCAGGGCGGGCTGGGTCTGAAGTCGGGAGTCAGTAACTCCGTCTGGTCTCCCAGGAAGGTGGTAGCCAGGGCGGGCTGGGTCCGAAGTCGGGAGCCAGTAACTCCGTCTGGGTCTCCCAGGAAGGTGGTAGCCAGGGCGGGCTGGGTCCGAAGTCGGGAGCCAGTAACTCAGTCTGGGTCTCCCAGGAAGGTGGTAGCCAGGGCGGGCTGGGTCTGAAGTCGGGAGCCAGTAACTCCGTCTGGGTCTCCCAGGAAGGTGGTAGCCAGGGCGGGCTGGGTCTGAAGTCGGGAGCCAGTAACTCCGTCTGGGTCTCCCAGGAAGGTGGTAGCCAGGGCGGGCTGGGTCTGAAGTCGGGAGCCAGTAACTCCGTCTGGGTCTCCCAGGAAGGTGGTAGCCAGGGCGGGCTGGGTCTGAAGTCGGGAGCCAGTAACTCAGTCTGGGTCTCCCAGGAAGGTGGCAGGGACTTAAGCACTTGAGCCATCAAGTACTGCCTCCCAGAATGCAGACTAGCAGGAAGCCAGAACTGGAGGTGGAGCCTGGGCTCATGCCTAGCGAGTCCAGTACAGGATGTAGGTTCCTAAATGGCATTTCAGCCACTGCATCAAATGCCCATCCCCAGATGTCCTTTTGGAACCAAATTTTTTGTTTCTAACTCTTTCTTCCATAGTTAACTGTTAGGATTCCAGCAACTGAAAATCCCCTATATTTAATTGTCAAGATGTTTATAACTCATAACTCTATACTCAAATCCTGATCTCTCTCCAGATTAGATTCCAGACTACTCTCTCTAATGGATACTTCTTCCCAAAAAGTAAGCTGATTTAAATATAAAGTACCAAGAACAGAAGAGATTATAGACAGGAGCACTTAAAAGGAAACTATCCAGGCCGGCGCCGCGGCTCACTAGGCTAATCCTCCGCTTTGCGGCGCCAGCACACCGGGTTCTAGTCCCGGTCGGGGCGCCGGATTCTGTCCCGGCTGCCCCTCTTCCAGGCCAGCTCTCTGCTGTGGCCAGGGAGTGCAGTGGAGGATGGCCCAGGTGCTTGGGCCCTGCACCCCATGGGAGACCAGGAGAAGCACCTGGCTCCTGCCATCGGATAAGCGCGGTGCGCCGGCCACAGTGCACCAGCCGTGGTGGCCATTGTAGGGTGAACCAACAGCAAAGGAAGACCTTCTCTCTCTCTCTC